GTCGAGTTACGACTACTGCCTGGTTCTCGACCAGCGATACAGCGTTTCTCTCACTATTTCCACTTCTAGTGGTCGAGTTACGACTACTGCCTGGTCCTCGACCAGCGATGTAGCGATTCTCCCATTACCTCTACTTCAACAAAGTTGGTAGCATGTACACAAAATCGCCAAGTGTTTTACCCAGAGATCCCTTATCACGACGACACCTAGCGTTGAAACCTATCCTACTGTCCCTTTACGCAGTCTTGACAAGGCCTCCGAGGAACCTAAGGGATCTTCGGCTGGGGACGCCCAGAGCCGATAAGGCCTTGTCGGATCCTTCAGAGACGAAAGAACATGTAAGATCTGGTCGTGTAAGAGTTCTCGCCGTGCGCATTAACCAAGCCGTGTAATCGGAAACTAAGCTTTCCAACTTCACGGCTAGGGGCTAGGATCAATGCTTATTCAACCAAGGCAGGTCAAGGGTCCAAGAGCCTTCTCCTCCGAGAACGATTCTCCGACGACAAGGCTGGGGGCTAGGGAGAGTGTACAACTCAAACGACTGACCAAAGTCGTGAACTGAGAAGACACTCTTACACAAAACATTGGTCGGTAAATTTGATTCATTTTCAGTTTACCATACATATTATAACATGTCACCCTTTGAGCATTCGCTCGGGGGCTATTTCTATCTAATATTCTTTTCTGAGTATTGATTTCAGAAAAATTCTATTCGACATTGTGGAAGACTCCATGTCTCTATGGTTCTACACCAAGATCGACTAAGGCGAGTATGACCAATGTTGACAAGGCTCCGTCGCAGACTCTACGCCTTCTCGATCGCTCGAGAACAGTTGCTGGATCTCGACAAGGAATACGAAATGAAGAGATGGTGTACCCGCCGAGATAAAATTTCTTGACTTCAATCCAAATTCTCGATTACGGCAAGATGGAAGACTTAGTCGTACTCTATGTACTTCCTTGGTTGACATCGGAGATTGACTCAGACAAACCCTTTGGGTGCCCGCATGAGGCTGACAAATGAAGTCTAACGTTATCTCTAAACTCACCGAGAACGGTCAGATGAGCTCGATAACAGTTACTCCAATGTCTGCGCGCGGTTGAGAATATGAATTCGTTCATTTGCATTGAAGTCGGGAGCTACTGTCATGGTTATGGATACCACATACCTAATAGTAGTTGACTAAATCTCGGCAGGATCCACCACATACCATGTCCTATACGGAAACTAACTTCAGATATGGAGGGAGTTCCGGATAAGGAAAGACAACCAGAGTTCAACATGGAAACGACAAGAACTACTCGGATTGTATCCATATTGGTTTCCCTAGTTCTACTTGGACAAGGGGACACCTATGGGTATAAATATAAGGCCCCCGAGGAGGAGAGGGGGAACCACCCTGAGAGGAGACCATGGAAGACACCCATGACAATTAACATACACCCACTAGAAGCCACAACATACAAGCCAACATACGCCGAGACACGCCGCCGGATATCGACTTCAGGGATAGGCATGGCTATTCCCCTACGGTGTCTCCGAATACTATCAGGAGATACGAAAGCGCTATCTCTGATCTCGCCGGGCACGGACTTGAGGAGGAAGACTACCCTGTTGTCGACTACGAGTCAGACCATCAGACCGACATGTCGAAAACAGTTAGATAGGCTGCCCACATATTGTACTGGTGTGATTATGGTGAATAAGAGCAATACCGGCTTCGGCCAATAGGATGTAGGGTTATTACCTGACAACTTAGGGACCCGAACCTGTATAAAAATCCTTGTCTCCATCTGTTTTACCTCAGTCTCGCATATATCCTAGCACCGACGATCCCCATACTATCCAAATACCGTACTCGAGACATCAAACGTCGACATCATCCACTTTAGATCTCGTGCTCTACCCCTTTTCTTATTACCGAATTTTAGAATCGACGGGTCATTACAAATTATTCGATGCAATCCTGATATCGTTTCAGGTAAAAGAACCTGCCCCCAACCCGTTTCTGCTACCCTGCGCATGATGCTGTGGTGCATCATCAGCCCATGCGAGACCCTACACCTTTGCCTGTTTGGTCCGCAATGCAACCCATCTCGTCTCTGTTGACGACACCACGCGCACGCCGTCTTCGCCACCCACGCGCACACTGGACACCGCCTAAAACCGAAGGGCCTTGCCAGATCCGGCGACGGCGGTGCCGGATCTGCCGCCACCTAGCCAGGAGACCTCGCCGCAACCACTCACCGACACCGGCAAACGCCACCTCCCCCGCGCCAAAGAGGAAGCGCCGCCATGGAGAAGGCCCCATCACCGCCATCCCAGCTCACCAATCGACTTTGCCGGCGGCAGCGAGGTAGGGGGAGGGGTGAGAGGGTTGTGGCCGTGGTGGCAGTAGGGTTCGCCCCACTTGTCGCCTGTGCGTGGGCGACGCGTGGGAGCGTGTTGTGAGCACACTAGTTGCGATCACATCTACACTAGGCCCCGTTCGTTTCTTCTGTAAGGGTAGGATAAAATTTTGGATTCTCGTAACACGCTTTTCAAACTGCTGAACGGAACATTTCATGCGAAAGCTTTCTCTATGAAAGTTGCGCTAAAATATCAGATTAATCCATTTTTCAAGTTTGTAATAATTAAAACTAAATTAATCACATGTTATTACCACCTAGTTTTGCATGAAACACTTAATCTTTATCTTCATCTTCATCTTCAGAAGATTCAAACACCACCTCTCTAGCATACTGATCGAAATAATTTTATTTTATTTGTTTGTCCAATATCCTCTTTCTTTCATCTCCTTTTTTCTTAGAGTTTGTGTGGAGGTTGCCCCTTGCATGAGAGGTGACTGACCTTCTCTTTCCGATCCTATGTGGCATTTTAAGGGGCAACACATCAAGCATTATAGTACTTGGCCGAATGGTGGAGTTTGGACACGGTGCTCGTTAGCTCGGTCTATGGCCTTGCCTCTGTCTCTCCATTCTCGGGCAGCACGCCGATGGAACGGGATGACTGGACATGTCAGGGGCTTTGCTTCCTGTCCAGAAAGAGTAATGGAGGAGATGATTTAGTCTGGGCACGGAGATTTGGACAGAACGGCTTCGTCTACTCGCAGGCTCGCAGCGGAGCCATACTCGTGCAACGATTGGGGAGAATGGTGTGAGGTGGACGATGGGTACGGAGACACGGTGTCTAGGCCCACCAGCAGCGACTGCTATTAGCTAGGCTTCGTGGAGAAGGCTCGGCTTGGAAAGCTGTATGGTGTTGTTCTCTACTCCAAAAGAAGACGCACGCCACGTGTTCGACAAAAAGTCTACAAGGAGTGGGAGAGAAGAGGAAAAGGCGAGAAGGCTGAGTTTTTCCTGGGTGGATATATAAGGCTTTCAGGTGGGGCATGAGGTGCCAAGGCCCACTGAAAGTGAGAGGAGTTGAAGAGAAAGCACCAAAATGAGAGAGTTGAAGTCCTAAATTTGAATCACTTGGTGCCTTTGTCTGCCAAATTGGAGTAAAAAATTGGTAAAAATTACTGTGTGCAGAGCTAGTGATGATGAACACTCTGGTACAAAGGCACAAGTAGAAGAGTTATGGTTTTACAGTGGTAAAGTTCACTGTAAAGTTTAGAAGAGGGCTAGGTGATACGTTTTAATTCTAGATTATGGCTAGTTTGACTGAATAATTTGAGGTATCAAATGAGTTTATAAAATAATGCCAAATTAGCTGAGGGTATTTCATAATGTATAGTAGTTGTGTGATTTTTCCAGGATTTTTGCACACATAGATCAATTACGAAAATTATTCCAACCTAGTTTCAATGCATATGAATGAAATGACGGATGCATGAAAAATCCAAAAAGGAGCAAAATAATCTCAAAAGATAGAAGGGAACCCATTTCACTAATGATATCATGTATTCCAGGTTTTACATTTTTGGGTCTATTACATATTGCAATAATGTTTGTTCAAATATATAAATGTAAATCTTACATAGAAGCCTACACTTTTGTTTTATAAATATATAAGGTAGCCACGGTCATATTATAACTAGTGATGTCCTCATGAGCATTAAAATCTGTGATCACTCTTGTGGCCTGGTGCCCTAGTGTGAGCGAAATGCTAGAATTTTCCGGCATATAGCCACCATGCCTACCACGATCGCTGCCAAGTTTAAGGAGGAAGCGCGAACATATATGGAGCCACAAGACTTCCAGAGATCATCCCCCTCAGGAGAGTAGCGTCTCGCTTTGTTCTGTGCGGGTCTATTGTTTTCGAGATAGGCTCTGTAAATATTACTTGTTGTGGCTTAATTTACTCCTTCTCTGTTAATACAAGAGTGGCAAAGCTTCCCCTTCTTAAAGAGGAAAAAAAAAGACCTCCAATAAGGAACCGTACATGAGACCACCAATATTGGTGTATCTGTGGCCAATATGGAGGAGGATCCCACAGTCTTGAAACCAGAGTAGGCCGAGCAAGAGACGCGGTAGCATTAGCATAGGCGCCAGCTGTGGAGCAGGGGCGGAGCTAGAGTATACTAGGGGGTGCCCAGGAACCCGGTCAAGAAAATTTTTTAAGCTATACTCATCTATTTTCACCATGTATGCACCCCCTCAATACAAACTTAGGCACCCGCGTCAGTTTAAATTCGATCTAAAGTAAAATAATTTAAGTGGCATCACCCTCCATTTCATTCTAGCTCCGCCCCTTCCGTGGAGAACACAGAAACTGATGGTGATGGCCGGATACATATGAATTAAATAGCCGGTGCAAAATTAACTTCAGCAACAGGCCAGTGATCGATATAACACATAGTCCGTACCAACAATCTGATACGGAGTAGAAACTTGGAGTGATCAATCAAACGAAAGCCGTACGTGCGTAGGCGCCTTGGAGTTCGCATGTATTCGGAGCTGGACCAAAATGAATGATATATAGGAAAGAAAGCATATGTTGTCCGTGAAAATATATACGTACACGCTTAACTATATTTCTGGGAGGACGACAAATATACAAGTACAATGAGCTCTTTAATTACTATAGGATGTAATTTCATGGTGCACCTAGTATTTATGGGCACAAAAATACACACTTATAATTTCTTTGGCAGAAAAAAATATTACGCATGAGTACATAAGTAGGTTCACTATGCTTTTCTGCTCAGGCACATAAGTTATTTTGAAATCACGAAGACCACATGTCTCTGACAGCACATATTTTACCTTGTGCTGTTATGGTCTTTTGGAAGATGCATTATCTGTTACACTGGTATTTACGCACAGCTGGAAGCAATGTGAGTGACCGGACACACATTTAGGCTAGTGTGTTTATAAACCAGTAGTCCAGGTGCCTCCCTCATGTCAAGATCCTTGTGCAACATTCCATTGGGCAGCTTCCAATCAAAATGGTAGAGAAGGTTAGCCAAGGCAAACTCCATGTTAGCTAGCCCAAGATTTATTCCAGGGCATACTCTGCGGCCAGAGCCGAAAGGGAGAAACTCAAAGTTGCTCCCTTTGAATTCTATATCGTTGTTTTCAAACCTCTCTGGCTTGAATTCTTCGGCATCCTCCCAATACTTACTATCCCTGCATATTGCCCACACATTCACGAATGCAGATGTACCCTTGGGTACATCATAGCCCATAATCTTACATGTCTCACGGCATTTGCGAGGGGCTAAGAGGGGCAATGGACAATGCAGTCTCAAGGTCTCCTTTATTACCATCTTGAGATAGCTCAGTTGGACAAGGTCATCTTCAGTGATGGTGTTTTTTCCATCGAAGATTTGCCGCATCTCTGATTGCACCTTTGCCATTACTCTTGGGGAACGGATCAGCTCTGCCATGGCCCATATTAGTGTTGTTGACGATGTATCGGTGCCCCCCGCAAACATATCCTGGAATAATGATTTTTTAATCAATTACTAATCATCCTGAATAATTTTTTTATCCATACCACCTAATGCACATAATACGTGCCTACATATATAGCCTAAACTTAATTCATTACTAAGAAGTATGCCATTTGTTCGAGAATACTTAACTAAAACTACATATATAGACTGTTTTCTTGAACTAAAACTTTATGATGATTGGGTATCACTACTATATGAATGATTTTCCTAGACAGGGACACTTTTAGATTGCGTGCGGGTGGTAACTCAGCCTGCATGGGAAAATCGGCTCATTTTCACGTGCGGTCTATTTAAAAGGACCGCATGGGAAAATCTTAAATGGACCGCACGCGAAAATAAGTCAGTTTTCCCGTGCAGGCCTATTAAGAGAGCCGCATGCGAAAATAGTACTCCCTCTTTCCCTCTCACCCACTTCAAAATTTCCCCTCTTTCTCTCCTCACCCCTCCCTCCTCTCTTTTTCTTATCTTTATCTGCGAGACCTCTCTTCTCTCCCACGCCTCACCCCTCTCTCTCTCTCTCTCATGCCTCTCTTCTCTCCAACGACTTTGCGGGTCCGCGCTTCGCTGACGGCGGCAGTCGGCGTTGGCGTGCGGCGAACTCAGCTCCACGGCGGTGAAGGCGCAGGATCCGGCGGGCAGTGGCCGTCCCCACACGGACCGGCGGCGGCAGCCGTCCGCACGGATCCAGCGGCCGGCCGCCCTCCCCCCACGCGGGAACCACTCCCCTCCCCTCCCCTGATCCGGCGGAGAGGAGGGGCGTCGGCGGTGGTCTGACCGGAGGGGAGCGCGGATCCGGCGGCCGGCGGCGTGGAGGCCAGCGGAAGGCGGGCGGTGTGGAGGCGGGCGGCGCGGAGGCCAGCGGTAGGTGGGCTGCGCGGAGGCGAGCTTGCGCGGAGGCCGCCGCCGACGACGGGGAGGAGGAGGCGGCGCCGCCGATTCAAGGTTTTTTTTTTTCAGTTTTTTTCCCGTGCGGGCAACATAAGCGTCCGCACGTGAAAATCCAATTTTCGCAGACCCCTGGGTGTGTGCACCTGCACGCATTACCCGCATGAAAAATTTTGTTTGTAGTAGTGTATATATCCTAGCTAGGTATAGAGGTTAATTAGGATGTAATCATGTTCCTTGTGAGAGAAAAAATATTATTATAATTTGTTTATATGGTAGGTTTTGTGTCTATCTTCATCTCTACTATTATAAAAATTAAAGATGTTTTTGTCGGTACTTTGGTACGTCGTCCGTGTAACTACTCCCTCCGTTTGTTGTTTGTTTAACGTATAACGCCATTGATTTTTTAAGATATATTTGACCATTCGTCTCATTCGAAATTATGTAATTATACATCTATTTTACTGTAACTTGATTTATCATCAAATATTGTTTAAGCATGACACAAATATTTTATATTTGCACAAAAAAATTAAATAAGACGAATAATTAGAAAAACGGAGGTAAGTAGAACATAAAGACAGTGTTGTGAGGCTTGCTTACCATCAAAAGCACGACTATAACCTCATTTGTGATTGGGATCGGCGAGCCGCCTTCCTTCTGGAGCCTGAGCAGGTCGTCCAGAGAGCATGCGCATGACTTGCTGTCGGCCGCGCGATCATCCGCCTCGATTTGGGCCTTGCGTTCTCGGATGATCTGCTCTATGATGCGCACCATCTTGTCGCGGTTGGCGATCGCGGCGCGCGGCGCCGCGGACACCATCGCCGCGAGCCTCGACGACGGGAACAGGTCGGCGACGCTGAGCCCCGACGTGAGGCGCACCACGGCGTGCAGCGCGGCGAGGTACTCGCCGCTGTGCTCGCACCGGCTCCCCACGGAGCACCGGAGCACGGTGTCGTTGACCATCCTGGTGACCATCTCGCTGAGGTTGACGGCGGCGCCGGCGGTGGCGGCGGCGGACAGGTCGCGCATGAGCCGCGCCACCTCCTCCTCGCGGACGCGGCGGAACGAGCGCACCCGCGACGCGGTGAGGAGCTCCTGGGTGAGCAGCTTGCGGAGCTGGCGCCACCGCTCGCCGTACGGGGACAGCACGACGTCCCGGCCGCCGAAGCTGAACGCCGCGGCGGCGGCGGTCAGGTGGCGGTCGGCGAACGCGAGGTCGTGGCTCCGGAGGACCTCCCGCGCCGCCTCCGGCGACGACGCGACCACCGTGCCCACCTCGCCGAACCAGAGCTGCATCAGCGGGGCGCCGTGCCTCCGGGCCAGCCTCCGCATCGCGCTGTGGACGCTCTCCCTGGAGGACACGACGTGGTGGATGCTGCCGATCAGCGGCAGCGTCCATGGCCCCGGCGGCAGGTTGAGCCTCGGCTTTGCCGCAAATGATATCATCAGCTTGGAGACGACGACAACCAACAGGATGGATGCGCCCATGGCGAGCACCACCTTGTCCTCCATGTCCGTACGATGTGCTGTACGCACTAGCAATAGCTACTACTCCAGTCTCCAGTTGCCAAGTACTACAGCAGGTGTACTATATATAGCGATGCATGGGCTCCGAGATCCTTCGTCCACCAAGTGTCGGTTAATGTTATTTCTCTCTTCTCTCATCAAACCATATCATCCTAATTATTTATAGCTTTTAGATAATAGATCTATGGTTCAAATTGTCTATTCTTTCTTCTCTCATAACACCATGCAATCTGAATTATTTTTGGCTCAAAATTTATAAGTATTAATTTGTTTGGGTTTTAATAATTATATTGCATCTTATTTGTACACATTACATAATTTAATTTCCCGCAGCAACGCGGTGGGGTATATATTCAGCTAGTTATTTTAACATCCAATTACAACACTCCCATTGCACACTAAAAATTTTAACAATTTTGTATTTTGTAGTGAATTAAATATATCTCCGACGCTACTACAGCAAATTAATATTTTTGCGGATGGTCCATAACCCATTTACATAGGTATTTTACGATCCCACCCGCAACCTTGGGCGTGTGAAAAATTTTCTATTACACGGGATTTCCAGTTTTTTATTTTTTTTAATCACAAGTACATAATTTTAGATGTGAAATATGCGCACGGGCGGTATATAGAATTCGAACCCAGGGCCTCTCACTCAGTGCCATAGTTTCCTTGCTATGCCATAGTCACTAACGAAAGGACTATGACCGGGGACGACTATGCATGGCATAGAATATTCCAACCCATGGACTGTATATATGGCATAGCTTTCCTTACTATGGCATAGAATTCCAACACGGGACTATGGCATATAGCTTTCGTTACTATGGCATAGAATTCCAACCCAGGATCTTTGGTGACTATCCCATAGATGCTATTCATTTGACTTCATCCTTCATAAAACTTGTAACATATATTTTTTACTCCAAGGGCCATCAAATTAAAAAGTTATCAACTATAAACTTGCAGCGTCGAGCTCTACAGAGCATGTCTCCATTTGAGCTCATTTTAAAAATTCAAAAATTCATTTTATCAAAATAGTGAAAGTTTGTAACGAATTTATAGCCACATAAACAATCTGGAATGAAAAAACGTTACACTACAAAATTGAATATGGACACTATCTACAATTCACATATAAAGTTTCAGAAAAAGTACGAATTACCCCCCTGAACTATCGAGGTCGACCAAATTACACCCCCGAACTCGAAAACCGGACATTCTACACCCCCCAACTATTGAAACAGGACAAATAACCCCCCCGGCTCAATCCGCGGTGGTTTTGGTCCTACGTGGCATATGCGTGGCAGTCCAGTCAGTAATTTTATTAAAAAAATTAGTGGGACCCACTGTCAGTTCCCCACCCCTCTCTATCTCTCTCCTCTATCTCAACCCCCCCTCTCTCTCAAATCCCTCCGCTCACCATCTCACTAGCACGGCGGCTGAGTCGAAGGCTAAGACGAAGGCGGAGGGGATGACCGGCGGCGGGTGGTGTTGGTATTTCTTACGACCACAGAGAAATCCGCAAGCGCACGGAATACCGCTGTAGCACTTCATCTTCGGTTGACCCCAAAAGGATATCAAACTCAGGGAACGTATGTAATCTACCTAAGCGTAAGACGATCCAAGGACAACAACTGATGATAGGTAGACTAGGCTAGAGAGGACTTTCTATGTGGTTTAATTATCTAAGCTAAGCAAAGGTAATTCCCTATCTGTTGCTTCGGGAACCGACCCCCGCTGGTCTACCAGCGTGGTTCCTGCTATAGCTCTTTGATGTATCCGAACGTGGAGGATTACTAGGACGGGATTCAGGGCTGTCACCACATGCCGCCTACCTCTGACAAATCCGTGGCATACACAACAAACAAAGGTAATCTCTAACTTAGACACCACGTCTAAGTTATTAATTACTACTCTAATACTTGCGCAAGAACTTCCTTCTCTATCCGGAGTCCTAGTACTAGAGTACTTAGTATAAATACTAAACAATTAATCCGCAAAGATGGAAACATATCTTACTTAAACAAAGTAATTAAATAACATAAGAAAGAAACACGAATGCTTACTTAATAGAAGAAGTTTCTCCGAACCCGGAGCAGATTGTACCGACAGCTCCAGTACTCCTCTAGAATTCCTCCTAGGAAGCTACACTCGTCGAGGTAGAAGTCGGATGAGCGCCAAACTTCTGGGCACTCCTCCAGAGCTCTCTACCTTATTCTAATGTACAAAAGATACAATACAGTCTCTTGTAATTCAGCTCAAAGTTGTGTATTGAAAATGAGAGTGAGCTCCTCCTTTTATAGGCAGGTATGACGGTTACAGCCTATGCGAAATGACCAAACTACCCCGGAACCGCCATTAGGATGTGATCAGGACCATCCACATGAAATTTGGCGATCAACGGCCACCAAAATGGTTCGGCCGAACCCGGGACGGCTCCATTTGGCCCGTTTTTCATCGTGGACACTAATTTTGAGGCCCTCAGCCCATTGGCATGATAGTTGGGCCCATTTGGAGTTGTTACCAACTGGGACTAAAGATAAAGCATCTTTAGTCCCGGTACTAAAGAGGCCAGATCCGGTTGCTCTTTATTCTTTTCTTTTCTTCATTGTTTTTAATAAATTGATTTCACCCCCATCCCATCCCCAAAATCCCAAATCAATCATCCTCAAATTGCCTCTAAATCCACAAATCGATCATCTCAAATACTCAGATACATCACAAAATATTAAAAAAATTACATCACAACTTCTACAAAATTCATCACATATTCGCATCACACACAAATCAAATACATCACACAACAATCTCAGATCCAATCAAATACATCGCACAACAATCTCAGATTCTCAAAAAAAAAAAGAAAAAAACCGCCGCCGCAGGCCGCTCCCTCGCCGCGCGCCGCCCCGCCCGCCGCGAGGCCACCAGCCGCCGCCGCGCCGGCCCGCTGGCCCTCCGCGCCCCGCCGCCACGCAGCCCTCCGTGCCCTGCCGCCCTCGTGCTGGCCGCCGCCGTAGGCCGCCGCCTCACCGCGCGCCGCGCCACAGCCACGCCGGCCGGCCGGCCCACCGCGCCCCGCCGTCGTCGCGCCGGCCTGGCCTTCGGCCTGGCAGTAGGAGGAGAAGGAGAGGAATAGATAAGGTTGAGGAGAGGAGTTAAAAGGAGAGGAGGAGAGGAGGAGATACCTCGATCCGATCGCGCACGCCTCTCTGATCTCCACGTCGATCTTTTTTCCCGGTTGGTGTTACCAACCGGGACTATAAATAGATCTTTAGTCTCGGTTGGTAACCGTGAGTAAAGCGTATGGCGATCTTTTATCCCGGTTGATGTTATCAACCGGGACTACAAATAGATCTTTAGTATCGGTTGGTAACTAAAGATTGAAAAGTGCCCTGGAGCTTTTAAACCGGGACTAAAGATGTTTTTAGTCCCGGTTTTTAATACGACCGGAACTATTGTGAAATCTGGTCGACCGACCAAAGATAGTTTCTCCACCAGTGTAGCGGTAGCCAAGGTGGACGAGGTAGACAGGGCGAGGCGCACAACAGCAACAGCCGAGGCAGATGCAAGCGATGGTGATGATGGAAGAAGCTACGGCGAACAAGGAGTAGCCGAGATAGACAAGGGCAATGAGTGTGGTCGCAGGCGGATAACGGTCGTGGGCAAGGCAGACACAAGTGATCGCACCAGCCGCGTGAACGAGCATGAGGGAAAAGGTCTGACATATGTAGGTGACGGCGGCGGCCACAGTGGAGGAGGGAGGTAGGCATGGCTCACGCAGGCGATGATGGCATGCAATGGCCGCGGTGACGATGGCTTGCGACGCGGCTAGCGCAGGTGCACTATTGCCATGGTAGGCCCACAACCTCAGGCCACGCGTGGGGCGAGCCGGTCGACTAATTTGTCGCCCACTCATTTTCGCTATTCCCTTCTCTCTCCTCTGGGTCATCCAAAACCGTAAGTGGAGCTCCTAATGTCTGTTATTGCAACTTATTGTACCTACTCTTACTGTTTTAATTACTTTCTAAGATAAATATCTTGCCGCTTTCTTATCATCTTCGTGACCTGTTTTTAAGCCTCAAATAATAGAGAAATAAAAATTAAATTTATAACTTTTTTTGTTTGTTTTTGTATAATTTTATGTGGCTTAACAGCACGACTATGAGATACTCTAGATTTAGACTTTTCTAACTTTCTAGCAGTAATGAGAGTGACTTTGGAACTCAATATGTAGTACGCCGTATATATTAGGCAGAGAAAGGTTAAATATTGATATTGGTAACTAACACAGTATGTAGATATTTCTTGGACAGATGGGGCATTTCTTAGTACATGATTTGTTGTACTAGAAAATATCCCATCCATTTAAAATTTATTATATTTTAGGACCGAAGGAGTATAGTCCCTAATTGGAGTGGACAGATGGAAATGGGACAAACTGGAGCTCACCGGGATGGAGCGACGGCTGCTTGCCTCCCACACACATTTCATTTCCTTGGACGTTCTCTGCACGTTCTACTGATAGTGAAGGATAATTTTAGAAGGTATTGGTGGTACCAAACAAAATAGATAGTATTTTATCCGTTTTAAAATGTATGACATCGTTAACTTTTCACATAATAATTAATCATTCGTTTTATTAAAAAATTAGTATAATATGCAAAAGTAAAAGTTAACATTATATTTTATTTGATGATAAAACAAGTTATAATGAAATAAATGATATTTATATAAATTTTTTAATAAGACGAATGGTAAAATATTGTACGAAAAATTAATAGCGTTATACATTTCGAAATTGAGGGAGTAATTAGTATATTAGGTACCAAAGGTTTTACTAGTATACAATTCTGCTACCTACTAGTCAAACGGCCGGTCAAGGTCACCTGAGAGAAATTAGGCAGGCAGCTAGTGACCTTTTTTTTTTTTTCGGAAGTCGGCAGCTAGTGACATCGGACACCTATCCGCATCTGTACTCAGAGACTGCTCATTTGTCCTACAAATAAGCTATACTAGCCGGGACCCCGCGGGTTGCCGCGGGCATAACAAATATATATATATTTAAAACTGTGAGGTAAGAGGAGAAGGTTCCCACGATTCATATTAAGCTTCAAGCTTTCAAAATATTTCCATCAAACTTATACCGAATAACATCATTGAATGCCATCACAAAGATTTTGGCCATAGTTAATTTACCAAACTTTTAAACGATTATATCATTTGCAACCACAAGCTCTGTAGCACACATATGCCCGTTACGCCATTTACAACCACATACAACCGTGTTGAAGGCTCTGGTCAATCCACCCCAAACCATTTTGTTATCAATTGGCCAGCGGATAAACCAAACAAAGCTATTTTGCATACAAATTGGCCTTCTGAAAACCATCCATAGATGAGGCTGAAAGTTTCTTAACCAAAGGCCACCACCGATATGGAACTTTTGTTACTTCCATATGCACTTGATTGTGAAGGATTGACAACTAATTGTAAAATATTAACATAATCTTGACTATCTTGTAAGTGATATTTACATGTATAGTTATGGTATGGAGTAGCCCATAGGCTAACACGGTGTTTAACTAAGCTGCCTTTTTGTTTTAACTTTGAGGAAACCAAACTGACCTAAAATGGTTAGATTGCGGCAATTTGTTTCTAGAAACGGTTGAAATCAATCTGCAAGAGTATAGGAGAATGTGCATATGTAGCTGTAGAAATCCTCTATTTCAAAAGTAGCTCTACAAATCCAATAGAATAGTTGGTACACAAAACGTATTGTACGCTTGCAACTAAATGAGTATATGTAAATTAGAATAATACTATACTCTATAGCCTGACAAAGGGAACTATTAAGACTGCAGGAATCTAAATAATGATGAGCGCCAATAACAGTGTTAAGGATCTTTCTGCACAGTCAACATATGCATTATGACCAACCACTGGATAAATGGCGAGGATGCACACATGACATTCATCCTTTTTCAAAATTAATAACTGAGCTATCCCAAAGAAATTAAACGATTGCTAAAATACTTTGAATATAATTTGTGCTCATAATTACAAATGGTGTTACCACAGATAAATGTGTTATTTTCTTCAGAGAGAAGAACCTGGAAGACTTGTGGTAGTTTACTCCCTTGGTCATAAACATCGGTTACTGAAAGAAAATGCAGAAATGTTAGAACAAATTTTATTATTACCTTGATGGTTATTATGAATTGAAGCCTCATGGTGATGAACTGTTCATATGGCCTCATTTGCACATAACAGCAGAGTTTGTACTATACAAAATGAAGAAATGCCATCAACTTATGTGTATTCACTCAAATGAAGGCCCTCATCATCCCATAAATGCTACAAAAGCATATGCAAAGCCATGGAACCTATAAAAGCTAGGTGTTACACATGCAGTTCAACAAATATATCACTGATTGAAGACCATGAACCTGACAGTCCATACATAGGCCTCGTAATGTAAGCAATCATGGCATCATACTGCAGCAAGCGGTTGCGATCAAGTTGAATTGTGTGCCTTTTGTACTAAACATCAATATTATCTATGAAATAATAAATTATCTTCCAGCTTGAATCAACACTTTATTCTTCTCATTTGTATCGCCATGAAGCCAATTAGGAACACTGAAGGAGGTAGCAAAAAACAATCATCTTATGTACACCAAAGCAGTAACTAATTATTCCTGTGCATGCACAAATAGAACATGTGCAAGCGGACAAGTAGCACACTGATTTTTTTATAGGTTGACCTTTCATGGTGCATTGTTTTGTGGCATCCTGCACTAACCATAGGCATATGGTCACATCGTACAATTATATAGGGAAAAAATCAGGCCAATATCTCTTTGTACATGATATTTTGCTGTGTGTAAAAAATGAAAATATGTGCTATAACAACAAATGGCTGCTAAACAAATGGAATCCCAGCAAGATATATAAAACTATCATGCATCCCTGAAACAATGGGGAATCATGTATTTTGAAAGAAATAGGAAAACTTGATTGTTGTTTGCACTTTAGGCCAATTGTACGGGTAGCAAGCATATCAGAAGAAATATTTATGGATTAGTAGGAATCATACCTGTATAGAGAGCAAAGCAAAGCTAATCTGAGCAGTAAAATACCTACTACAGAAAGGAATAGGTATATAGATCAACAATATGAGGAAAACAAAATGAACCTAATAAGCATCAGTGTATACAAAGTAGTAGAGGATGGCAGTACCAATTGGAGAGGTGTGGAGGAGCCGATGAGCAGCAGCCACAAGAAGCGAGGAGATGGCCATGGACGAGATGGTTGGTGGCAGTGCTGACCATTATATTGGCTCCACGAGAAGACGACAGCGGCAGTCGGCTCCACAGGGAGGTGGCGCAGAATAGTGGCTCCAAGGGAAGGGAGCGGCACCGCTGGCTCGACGATGACGAAGCGGCACCGGGTCGCTGGCAAGTAAGGCAAGAAGGCGACAATGCTGGCTGGCTCGGCAACACGGCGGTTGTAGCGCTCACTGCTTGCTCTGCGAGAAGACGGCGGCGCCGGTCGGCAGCGAGGATTCTTGGGGCGGAGGTGGTGAGGATTTTGGGATGGGGATTGGGGATTTGAGAGTAGCATGGGTGGGGAAATGGGGAATGGGAGAGAGAATCTTTCGGAGCCACAACGTGCTGATGGATGGTCGGATGGAACCGAGATGGCGAGATCGCACGGTGCATGCATACGCTGGTACTGTGACCCTGCAGCAAAGGATAGCTGCGCTGTGGTTCACTGGTAGTGGGTTATGAAAACTAAGGATTTAATATGATATCTTGTGCGTACAAACCGGATTTCAGAACGTTTACCTGGTAGTTGTCTGGCGATCGCATGGTATTGTCCAATGTTAGTCGCATAGATTTCGGCCGTTTCGTCGATCTGCGGTTCTTCGAAGACGTTGCTGAGGTCCTATCAGTGCGAGAGCAAGGCAAGTCATGCATTACAAATGATCATGATGTACTCAATTTACAAATGTTCCGTTTTCTATTAAATGTTATATTATTTTACAATATCATATGGGATGGGTCCTATTACTCAGCCATATGTTGTTCACCTTATGCCATTGATAATTTGGGTATTAATCGGATAAGATGTTGGTTTAGAAAATGCTTAGCCATGCTTAGATCCACTAGCTCACATAATTAGATAATTATATTATTAGACATTTAGCTTCATGACGAGCTGCGTGCTCGAGACATCCGGCCATGTTTCATTGGCCGTAATTATCCAATTAAAATGCGATTGAATGGTGGGCTGTGGATGCATGGCTTTGCTGGTCGCACCCATGGCAATTAAGGACCGGTTCACGGGAAACCCTAGGAGACTTATCGTGCTTATTACCATAAGCGGGAGTGGGTAACTGTTTGACTTGTAATATAGCTCGACCCTTTCCTAGGCACCGGTGGCAAGGGAGGGCATGATGGAGTTAGGTCGGCTGGGTGTCCGGTTGTCCAACTGCTGGGTTCACCGCGGCGCACGAGGGGGCTGCCCACTGCCTGTTGAGGGGTGGGGGTGAAACCTTAGCGTGGTGTGGATGGTTAGAGGAGGGTTATGCAAAGGGTCTTGTCATGATTCCACCATTTGCAGTGCCATGGTGGTACTTTGGGGCATGACGACATGTGTGGAATCATGTCTTATGGGTACAGTTGTACACCTCTGGCCAGAGTAAAACTATTCGAATAGCCGTGCCCGCGGTTATGGGCGATCAACCAGATTCACCGTGACTAGTCTCATCCTTAATAATTGGCTTAATGGACTGGTGTAGTTCAGGTGGTTGGTTGGGCCTGTTGCAATGTGGTGTAGTGTTGGACTGTGATGATCAGTATTGCTTAATTTACTACAACAGTTTTACTGCTTTCAACTACTGCTTTTAAATGCCTGCTTTATGCAAATGAGCCTTTAGCCTTCTTTGGATATATCTTGCATCGTGCCTTCTCTCCCGGTATGACTTGCTGAGTACAGTGGGTAGTACTCAGTCTTGCTCTCTCTTCCCCACACCAGAGCTAGAGTCCTTCTCAGTTGGAGCCTTCTCAGAGAAGTTGGTATCGTCACTGCCGTCAAGGATTGCCTGTAGAGTGGAGTCGACCCGTTGCAGGAGTCAAGCTTTCAAGTTTATCTCGCCTTTATCTTTTCCGCTGCATTTATAATCTTTTATATTTTTGTAAGTCGTGGATCTGTACGTCAAAAATTATCGTTTGTGTACCCTGGTTGGTCCTGGAAAGGGGTTTTAATGCACATTTAGCTTAAAAATTCTGGTTCATGAATTTCTAGACGTGACACACTACTACAAAATATCAAATAGGTGTTGCCACTATAGGTGCCGGTAGTGCTAAAACCGGCACCTATAGGCCTTTTCCCACCTTTGCGGGTTGAAATCGTAAAAAACCGGCTCCTTTAACTAAGTATAGGTGTCGGTTCTAAATAAAAACTGACACCTATTATATTTTGTGTTGGTTTTTTAAAAACGACACCTATAGTATATTATAGGTGCCGGTTAATTAAAAACCGACACCTATAATATATTATAGGTGCCGTTTTTTTTTTAAAACACCGACACCTGTAGAAATCGAGCCGAGCCAGCATCGGATGAGCCGACCGATGGGCCCCACCATGACGATCTTCTCTCTCTCTCCCTCCCTTCTCTCCCGAGCGCTGCCAGCTGCTGGCCGGCGGAGGCGGCAGCGGCGACCGCGCCTTTCCCTCCGCTAGATCCGGTGAGAGGGCTGACGGCGGCGGCTGGAGGGGAAGTGGCAGCGGGGAGCTGGAGGGGAGCCCGCGGCGGCCCGACTGCTGGAGGGGAGCCCACTGCGGCCCGGCTGCTGGAGGGGAGCCCGCGGCGGCCCGGCCGCCAGAGGGAAGGCGGCGGCGACGCCCTCCCCTCCAATAGATCCAGCGGGAGGGGAGGTAGCGCCTCCGCTCCGCTAGATCTGGCCAGGAGTGGAGTCGGTGACGGCTCGGCGGCAGGAGGGGCAGCAGTAGTAAGTGGCGTGGCTCACGGGCCGCGGCGGCGGCAACCTCCCCTCCGCTATATCCGGCGGGAGGGGAGGCAGCGGCGGCAGCGGAGCCCTCTCCGCCACCAGATCCGGTAGGGGGCAGGCAGCGGCAACGACGACATCGGGCTCCCCACGGGCTCCCTTGTCTCTTCTGCCACAGGTGAGCACCCCCAATCGTCTCCTTCATTGTTGATGTTTGATTTGATGATCCAATGATGTTTGATGTTTGATTCAGTGATGTAAACTTGTTGATGAATATTTGATTGTGTGATGCATGAATGTTGCCAAATTTTGTGATTGTGTGATGTGTTCATTCTTTTCTTGCGGATGTGGTTGGAGGGACTGCTCGGCTCGATCGAGCTGACGCATCGAGCCGGCTTTTTTTTTTATTCGGCAAACCTAAAAGGTGCCGGTTCTACACAAATTTTGATGATTTGACCCTTTGCAAAAAATAATTTTACAAACGAACCATGGCCAAAACTTATTTCAGAAATGACCCTTTTGTTCAGGGTCAAATCGTATGGCGCTAAACTTAGACACCTTAACACCACGTCAACTGGCGCTAAATGCCGTGCCACTGCGGATGGGAGGCTGAGTCGGTGTGCCAACGTACATTCAGTGTCGGTTGGTAATACTAACCAGGACTAAAGATCCCAGGCGGCCTAATATCCTCTGACATGAGGTGAACCGCGACTAAATATCATATAGTTCCGTTGCACTTATAAACCGGGAATAAAAGTGCTTTTTAGTCGTCCTGGTTTATTAAAAAATCGGGGCTATCGTGGGATTTGGCCGACACCGACAAAGGTGGTTTCTGCAGTGGTGCCGGTTCAACAACGTACGTACGTACGCCAATTACAAACTCTTGTCGTGCTGTGTTTGTATATATCTTGCCATTTGTTTATTAACACGTTTTCTATCTGTCCTCGCAAATTATCTCTGCTGAAGTAAAACCAGATCAATGATCACTGACCAAATGCTGTACTAGAAAGATCAATAATTGGATAACTTCGAAAGGTTTGGCACGCATGCTGCGATTTGGTGGTTCATCGCATGTTTGCAGTTGCAGGGCTAACTTACGGCAGCGTACGACCGCTAAAAAATCAAACACGTGAAGAGAAAAACAAAGGAAAGTTGTGTAAAATGCATGCAATCGTACTGCAGGTTAAGTACTATGTGCTAATTACGACTAGAATTTAATTTCAAACCCCACAAAAAAAATGAGACGTAACGTACGTAACCGGCTTGAGACCACAAAAATTAATGTTTCTATGCCGAATTAACTAAATTGGGCAACATATTCTAATCACTCCCTTCGTCAAATTTTAAGCGCAGTCATAAGTTTCGATGTCAACTTTGATCGCCCGTCTTATTTTAAACTATTTTATGATTAATACTTTTATTATTATTAGATCATAAAACATGAATATTACTTTATGTGTGACTTAAAGTGTCTCATTTTTTTAAAACAATTTTAAATAATACAAACGATTAAAATTAGATACGAAAACTACTTCAAATGGGACGGAGAGGGAGTATTATCCTTGCATAGCTAGCTAGCTAGCAGAAGTAGTATGTCCATTAATTGCTCTATATATATAGGCTGGGTGGCAGGGTGGTTAACTTAACTTGCTATAAGCATTAATTAGCAGAGCTATCTAGATCATATACTCGACCGATATTATGGCTCACCGCTTAGCGTGTGCTTTCACCATTTCGCAGCCACCGCCGCCTGCATCTGCCTGCGTGCGGATGAACACCACCAGCACTACCGCGGCAGCTGGAAATAACAACATCGCGTGCATTAAGCATCGCAGCAGCAGCAAGCGTGTGGTGTCTTGTCATGCAGCACCGTCATCTGCCCCGGCTGCTGCCCAGGCTCCCAGTTTCAAGCCCTCCGTGTGGGGTGATTTTTTCGTCCATTATGAACCTCGGCCAACGCAGGAAAGTTTATATTATCTATACCGTATGTGTGTGTGTGTGAATTTTTCTCAACCACAAACAACGTACTGCTTAAATATTTATAGATAATTGTCATGCATTGAGTCGGTTAAGTTTTATGGAGGTTAATAATTACTACCTCTGTCGAAACAAGAATTCGGCAAATAATAAAAGAGAATAGCGCACGAGACCTAAAAGTGGATAGATACGGAGACAAGGTTTTAGACAGATTCAGGCTCTCTTGATGAGAGGTAATATCCTACTCTTGTTGGAGGATTTGAATCCGCCGGGTGTATATTGATCTGACGATCTGGTTGTGTCACATGCCCTCTAGAGGGCCTTCTGCTCACCTTATATAAGATGGGGGCAGGATTACAAGATAGAAACCTTAACCAATACAGTATCGGTTTCCTAAATCTACTTTACAATATTATCAAATCAGGACTTTAGACCGTTCCATAATATACAAGGAAACGTAATACCCAAACCATGATCCGTTACATATTTCATAGATATAAGTTATCCCCTATAACCAGTCGGATAACCATGTCGTATGTGTACGGGGTACCCATAATCTCCACAGTAGCCCCTGAGACCTTTACAGTCGAAAAAATAATCTTCTCTCAAACTAGATTACTCCAAAGCCGAGTGCTTCAATCATCTTTGCCAAGATCTC